CGGCTCACACAACTTAAATGACTAAATCCAACTCTTAACAAAGATATTAACGTTTTTATTACACATTGGTCACGAGGAATTTGAACTGCCCGCTCACAAGAAACTCAAAGCTCTACGTAAGTCAAATCGCGCACTACAGCGGTTTCAGCAAGCTTCTAAATCGAGCAATGTTGATTTTCCACCATGTGTTGTTCAAACTATAAGCAATTTGCTATAGCTGAGCCAAAGCGTCAAGATCGAGGTTGCCAGATTTTTATATCGCAGAGACTGTCATGATGAACGTTTAGCGCGAGATGTGAATCACGTAGAGCATTGAGTTTTCATGAGCGGATGGTTTGAATTCACGCACTAAGCGTCATTAAATATCTTCATAAGGTATTGATTTCGGTAATTTCCGTTGTGCGCATCGTGTTTTACGTAAAATTTTGGTTAAGAAACATGAATCAGAATGCTGAAATTCGTATATTGTCTAGTGGTCCATTGGGAAACTACAAGGGCCTACGTTTAATTTGTAACCCTGAAAAAAAAAACGAACGTATTCGTTCCCTGAACTTCTGTTTTTTTTTTTTTTTTTTTTTTTTAAATCATTTTTAAAAACTAACATAAAATTTAACAAACTGCCTACTACCTTACTGTCTCTTATTGTATTATGCATCATCGGCAGAAAAATTTAACACACCGTCGAGTGTTCTTAAAATAATATATTTCTCTCCATTTTTAGAGAGCTATGATATTCGACGCTCATAAAAATAACTCTGCTTATTCAGTGGATTCGCTTGATGGATTCGTGAATATATCATTATAGATACGTGCAGTCATTGAATAAATGTTGCAACAGGGTATAGTCGCGTGCGTGAATGGCTTTCGACCGTGTTTTATTTCGGAAGCAATTTATGAGAAACATGTGTTTTCCTACCAATCACCTGATACCTCCCTTCGTGCTTCTCACCCTCGCCCGTCCCTCGTTGTCTGTTCGTGCAAAAAATTCCTATTTTTTTTTCAATTTTATTCGATAACCGCCGAGAATCAATATGAAGACGTTTATGCATTCAGTAGACTAATTTGAATCTCTGGGATTTGTCTCTTTGAATGATTTTATGAACATTCCCTCAAACATAAATCGACATTATCTATGAATGGAATTGTTCGACAAATAAGCACTTGACCGTCCGTGAACAGATCCCAATCGATCCGAAAGAAAATTCAGAGGAAAATTTTGAAAAATCTTGGATTTTGAAATCTGATAAAACATTAGCGATTTCACTTAATCAAACCAAGTCTCGGAGGACTCATTGCTCTGAATTATTACGGACAGATTAATAAGTTTCAATTAGGAATTGATTCAATCTTAATTAATTAAAAAATTAACTCCTGAAGTAAAAAAGATCCACACGTGTCTGTAATTTGCAAATAAAATGAATGCTAATTTTTTTTCATTTCAATTGTACGTGTGCTAACTGTAGATGTGAAAAGTAAGGGAATTTCGATGATTTCGGTCAGGAAAAACCTGGAAAAGTCCGAAAATTGCTTCCCGCCGAGTCTGTAGGCACCAGTGGCGTGGCGTGCTTTGCGATATATTGATTGATTCGTCATTTATACCTATGGAAATGGATCGATAAACCTCGAGTTAAGTTGATTGATGTCTGTAAGGCTTACTGACTACAAAATATTCCGATGGCTGAAGTGCGGAACCAGTATCTTCGCTTGGGACGTTACAGACTTCCTGCCGTACACCATTTTTCCTCGGAAAACTAGTCAACGTAATTTCTTGAGAACTGCCTTGATTATTCTCCTCTGTCGCAGAATATTATGCATTCATTTCAAGCCTCAAAGTTAGCTTGCTTCTCCTCTAAAATATGAAGTAGGAGCGGCAAACATAGCTACGATTAGAGTACCTGTATAGCGAGAGTATGGACAGATCGCTTCATGGAGAGCTTAGGGCCCAAAAGTGCAGCCACCCTTCTAACCAACTTCTAACGCTCACAATTTCACTGCCAGTCTGTAGATTCCAATTCTAACGAAGATGGCTAAGAAAGTACATAAATGAGCGTTCTTCCACAAAAATGAGTAAATTTATACAAAAACTAAGTTAAATTTGTGCTTTAAAATCGATGGTTCGTAAGAATTGTATTAATAAATCGCTCCGGATAGTTGAAATTCATGGGTTGGCTGCATTTCTGGGCCCTAACTTTATTCGCGGAGGCATCGATGAAGGCCTGATGGATTTTCGGAGTTTCACATCTGTCTATACTCTCGCTATACAGGTACTCTAGCTGCGATGCGCCTTATGACGTAGGTTGACGTCCAGTGCGATTCCGCGTAGTCCAGGCGAACCCAGGACCGCGGCGGAGCAAGGAGGAATCCCAATAAGGGGGGCTCCGAAGCTGGTACCCGCGCCCGGTCCATGTTCTCCGCTGGATCCTGAGACAATGTTTGTTTTATCTTTGTCGAGCCTCGGCTCTTTTCACTTTTAATTTCACTTTACGCGACGCGACGCCTCGCTCAAACAGTTTCTCCCGCGCCATGACGGCAATGACGGCAGACGTGCGCTGCACTTGACAAATTTTAATCAGTCGAGCGCCTTATCGAGCCGACTCTGTTCCGGTCTTATTAGAGGATGATACGAGTGGATGACATGCCCGAAGACAAATAGAAACCCCCTCCACCGACCGCTTGCCGACAGGTGTACACTTTTACTTTCGGGGATTTGACAGTTCTTTTCGGACGACAGCAGTTCTGTTAAGTTGCAATAATTTTCCTTCCCTATTTTCATGCATATAGTCCGTTTAAGTATTACGTAACGTACTTAGGGGGGGGGGGCTTGAGCTAGCCTCACGGTGCGTTACGAGGGAGGAGGTGGGTCAAGCCAGCGTTACGCACTAAAGCCGAGTAGGGAAATCGGGGAAAGTGCGTTACGTACTACTTGAACGGTCCCTTAGCTAGGGCACCTTTTTAGAGGGAGAAATGAGCCGCGTTAAGCAGAAAGGAATCAAGCCACATCAGCTATTGCCACATTTCATTGGGCAAATCAATTATGTACATGGAAGCGGTTGTGCGGATTTGTTTTCAAAGGAGGGGTGGCGATTTGGGCCATGAGCATGTCTATCCAGACCAATCTACACAGGTCCGTCATTCCCGAAGACGAGCTATGGATCTAACTGCAGAATGACATATAGCTGGTTGCTTTTGCGGCGGGAAATACAGGGTGATCCAAAAGTCCCTTCCACCCCCTCTAACTTTTTACCTAATTGAGGTAAAGATTTGAAACTTGGGGGATATTCCTAGGTCAAAGGGAGCTACTTTTTGGCCCCCCTAAAATTTTCAGGGGGGCCCCCCTTAGGGGGGCAACGGCCCCCAACTTTTAATTTTCAAATGGGAAGACCCCCTTTGTGATAGCTCGTTCGAAAGAGCATAAAAAAAGAAAACTTTTCGCGCAAATCCGAAGTCAATATCTCAAACCGTCTCAAAATGGCGGCCGGTTAAAGTTCAAAATGGCCGAAAATTCACACCGGTTATTTGTTGATGGATTTGCGCGAAAATCGGTATGTTGGGGTATTTTGACACGAGAAAAACGAATTTGACGTTAGATTTTCAAAAAAACCAAAATTTCCAAAATGGCCGCCGGTTAAAGTTCAAAATGACAAAAAATTGATTTTTTTAGAAATGTAAGTTCAAATTTGTTTATCTTATGCCAAAATACTCTCAAATTCCAAGTCTTAGGCAAATCCATCCGGAAAAAACCGAGGTGACAATTTTCGGCCATTTTAAACTTTAACCGTCGGCAATTTTGGAAATTTTGGTTTTTTTGAAAATCTAACGTCAAATTCGTTTTTCTAGTGTCAAAATACCCCTACGTACCGATTTTCGCGCAAATCCATCAACAAATAACCGGTGTGAATTTTCGGCCATTTTGAACTTTAACCGGCCGCCATTTTGAAACGGTTTGAGATATTGACTTCGGGTTTGCGCAAAAAGTTTTCTTTTTTTATGCTCTTTCGAACGAGCTATCACAAAGGGGGTCTTCCCATTTGAAAATTAAAAGTTGGGGGCCGTTGCCCCCCTAAGGGGGGCCCCCCTGAAAATTTTAGGGGGGCCAAAAAGTAGCTCCCTTTGACCTAGGAATATCCCCCAAGTTTCAAATCTTTACCTCAATTAGGTAAAAAGTTAGAGGGGGTGGAAGGGACTTTTGGATCACCCTGTATATTTCTAAGGGTAGCAGCCAATATGAAGTCACGCTGGCTGTGGGCGAGTGAAATCCGGGCGGGGGGTGGATTTCAAAAAATGCGTGATGACTGACCTGCGTGGATTGGTCTTGCTGTCCATACTCTCCCTACGCATGTTCGCTAAAGCGGACGGTTAATCAAACATTCTCTGCCTTCCTGGGCCCAGGTTCTTCATTTTCGCGAAACGGTCCTTTATCGCGGGCTGATTGTTGGAATTAAGAGACAAAGCGATAGACAAAGAAGACGTAAGGAGTATTGAGTGTTCCTATTGGTTGATATGGGTGGTTCCTGTTAACTAAGGGAAAAATTGATGGACGAACTACAGGGTCTCTTATGGGTTGCCGTTAGTCTATAACTTACCTCATTTGTCCATTGCAACCACCCGCTTCTACCATTGGGAACCCTCCATATCCTTCTTGTCTTCTTTGTCGATCGCATTGTCTACCAATTTCAACAGTCAGCCCGCAGGGGCTCGTAGCGCCCAAGACCAATGCACACAGGTCAGTCATTGCGCATCTTTTTGAGAGCCACTTCCCCGCCCGGCCCTAACTCGGCTGCACTCAATACTACGTCACAATGGGTGCTCCCATAAGAAATACATTGCAAGCACTCAATACTACGTCACTGCGCAGTAGAGTACCAAAACTCGTCCACGGGAATGACTGACCTGTGTGGATTGGTCTTGGTAGCGCCTGCAGGGGGTAGGCCCGGCCGCCTAGCTATCACTACTTTTTTGGCTTTTGCTGAAACTAACGATGAATATGTGTTTGATTTCAGCTTCGACGGAAGTGATCCTGACGGTGCAGCAGCGGCCGGCGGCGTCGTCGACGATGCGGGGCGCCACGTCGATCCCGACGTCGCCGACGGGGGGCGTCGGGGGCGGGGGCGGGGCGAACAACGCCCACTCGCACACGCACCCGCACCCGCGGGGCCTCCAGCACCACCACTCGGCCCCGGCGCGGGACCACATCACCGGACCCAAGCCGGTGGACGTGGAGAAGCAGCGGCAGGTCGAGTGCCAGCGGGTCCACACGCTCCGGCTCATGCTCGAGAAGGAGCAGCGCTACGTCGAGGCCCTCAGGAGCGAGCTGGCCAAGTGCAGCGACCCCTCCAGCGAGCCCAAGATCGTCCACGAGCTCCAAGGGGCCGAGCGCCGCGTCAAGACCCTCCAGGAGCAGCTCGTCCATCTCACTCAGGTCAAGTCCGAGACCCAGGTAAGCACGCCCCGCCGCCCTTGTCTACTAGCTAAGCCAGTTCCTCCGCGTACCTCTGCTTCCACATGAGCCCCTACATGCGTAAAGTTCAGGAGAACTCAGCGGGCTGATTGTTGACATTCGTAGACAAAGCAATAGACGAAAAAGACAAGGAGGATATGGAGGGATCCTATTGGTGGGAGCGGTTGGTTGCAATGGACAAAGGAGGTAGGTTAGAGACTAACAGAACTAACTGCAAACAGAACCGGACCGGCCTGAGATACGAGGGTGCTGCAGCACCGTGGAAGTCAGCCTCAGTGGTGTAGTGGTCAAGGCAGTTCGCTGCCAACACTGAGGTCCCGGGTTCAATCCCCGGAGGTGACTGATATTTGAGGCCACTCTAATATCAGTCATCGTGACTGTGGATGACTATGCCACTCCTATACCCTGACCCTTCGAGGTAACAGGGTGCGGGAGGGACGTAGTCACCCAGTAAGGAATCCGTCTGCACTGTTCGACTGGGTTGTGAAAAATCGGTAATCACTCGTAGTGTGCGCGACTGCCAGCGCTACCTATCAGTGTAGATTGCAACAACACAGTCCAACTCGGTGGAGGCATGGCCCTGCTCCGAAAGTCCGTGCTCTGCAGCGTCTGCCACAGTCTTTGATAAGACCTTCCGTTGGCTATCAGACGGCCGCTGCGCTTTGCGGGAATATAGCGGATACCCAATGTGCCAATAGTACGAAGATAGGAAGGAGTACGGTCCAACTTCGGGGTGTACGACGGCAGGGTTTCTGCCAGTTGCTTTGGCCCCTTGAGGGCGCCTCGCCGGTCAGCCCGGCCTTTACTTACTTGCAGCACCGCGGGCTTTCCCCCCCCCCCTTGGGGACCGCAACATAAAGCGGGTCCCGGGTCCTACTAGCACCCGGGGCCTTTTCTCCCCAGTCCACTCTTGACTGTACCTCTCGAGAGACCCTTTAATTAGTACATCATTTTCTCCCTTTGGCCTAAGAACCACCCAAATTAACTAGGAGGATCACTCCATACTCCATATATTTGCTTTGTCTATAGCTTTGTTTGGCAATTTCAAGAATCAGCCCGGAGCTCTGGAGAACTGGGCTCACGTGGAACCAAATGCCGATTTGCTCTTAAAGCGGAAAATTCTTTCGCCCAGTGTTTACATAGTTTTAAATTTTGAAGATGTGCTTGTTTTGGAGGTTTTACCGTATAACTCAGAGTGGGTTTGATTTGCGAGTGATCTCTCTGTCCTAATCATGCATTTTGTAAATACTTCCAGGCTTGCTCATTGCTATGTTGATTTTTCCCCTTCATAATTTTTTTTTTGAGAGTTATTAATACGCGGAACGAATAAAAAGTGTTGTTGAGTCCTTTAAACGGCTACTTTGAAGCAGCTAATTAGGAGGTAAATATTATGTGTTCATAGTGGTGATTTTAGGAAGCTCTGCATGACTGAAACACCTATTAAAAAACCTAAATAAAATCCCTTTAAATTTCCTATTCGACCTAGGTCGAGCCAATTTTCACGTCGATCCACTTTGAAAGCCTCTATTTTTTCAAGCAGAGTGTTTTTGCACAACGAAAAACTGCCAAGGAAACTGTTTGCCACGTCGTAAAGTAATAAATCTAAATTTTTCTCAATGCATCGGAAAATCGATCCGTAGCATTATCGTGTGATGTAAAACCCACTGGCTCTCGTTATAAATTAACGATGAGGTAAGGCTGTACTCTCGAGCCAAGGAGGTACGCCGTATGAAAATTCGAACGTTGCCGAATCCACTTCGAGGAAAAGTTAATTTTCCAGAAAACCTGTGAATTTTTCTCTATGAAATTTTCGGAGAAATTTCCTCGTAATTTAACCTGACATATCTTTAAAATGGAGATGTTGCATGTGTGTGGAATTTGCGATTTGACTGTTGATTCTTTTGTAAAAGTTCGCTAGAAACACGATGGTGCCACTGGTTTTCTCTGAAATCATCTCCCAAGCTCAAAAAAAGCTCTCAAGTTGAGGCTAAAATGGAGGGGATATCCCACCCTACCCTGTGTTTTCAGTTGTGGAGTCCCCAAATGAAGTGGCAACCCTGTCAATGTATTTACTCCCTATCTTTGCATGGAGAGTTTGGCTTGATGTAGACGTGGACTCTCAGGGTAGGGTGGGATATCCCCTCAATTTTGGCCTCCACTTGAGAGCTTTTTTTGAGCTTGGGAGTTGATTTCAGAGAAAACCAATGGCACCATCGTGTTTCTCGCGAACTTTTACATGAGAATACTAGTCAAATCGCAAATTCCTCACACATGCAACATCTCTATTTTTTTCTATGAAATTTTTGGAGAAATTTCCTCGTAATTTAATCTGACACATCTTTAAAATTCAAGGGAAAATTTTCGGAACTCCTTTCAAAAGTAGATGTTGTATCGGGGATGGTTTGGCAACGTTTGGACGTTCATGTAGCGTTTTTCCGCAGTACATTAGTGTATGCATCGAGTCGGGAAACAGAGGAAAGAATCTAGAAATGAATCGACTGCGCTGAGGTATTGTTGGTCGAGTCAAGGATGGATCTGCGAGTGGGATAATTCGTCATGACACTGATGCTACCGACGAGTAACAACTCGATGATGAGCTAATCACTTACTCGAAGAATTTTCGTTCGCAGCCTTCGTAAACTCTCTTGCTATTTATTCCTGCTACTTGTTTTACTAATTATTATTCCTTCGCGGGTTCCGAGAGTTTCCTCGCGTTGTCGGTAGCGAGGCGTGAATGATCGATTATCGATATTTCCCCGTTTGAAGCTACGGTAAAGAATCGATTATTGAGGTGTTCGTCGCGAGCATCCTGTTAATCGATCCTTTTCCACAGGTTTAAATGGCAAATCAATCGATATATCGCAAAGCACGCCACGCCACTGCACGTTGATGGTTCCGTGGGAGTGGCGCGACGGACGAGTCCCTGAAAAAGAGAGTTTCTAGGTGCGATGATCCAGACTCGCGAAAATCAGCGACACATACGGCCGTGCTGAAGAAGAACGCCGTATGGAAATTTGAGGGTAGCCATATTTCCTCGAATAAAACGTGTATTTGTGAGGAGAGTTGTACATAGGTTTCCTTGAAATTTTCGGATTTTTTAGATTTTTTTACGAACATAATGGACCACTAGACAAGGTACGAATTTCAGCATTCTGATACGTATTTCTTCACCAAAATGTCACGTAGAGCACGATACGCACAACGAAAATAACCGAAGTCAACTCCTTACAAAGATTTTTAATGATTCTTGATGCGTGAATTCAAACCACCCGCTCATGAAAACTCAATGCTCTACGTGATTCACATCGCGCGCTAAATGTTTATCATGACAGTCTCTGCGATGTAAAAATCCTCAACTTCAATCTTGACTATTTGGCTCAGCTACAGCAAATTACTTATAAAATAAAAAACACATGGTGGGAAATGAACAGTGCTCGATTGAGAAGCTTGTTGAAACCGTTGTAGTGCACGATTTGACTCACGTAGAGCTTTGAGTTTCTTGTGAGCGGGCAGTTCAAATTCCTCGTAACCAATGTGAAATAAAAACATTAATATCTTCGTTAGGAGTTGATTTCGGTAATTTTCGTAGTGTGAATCGAGTTCTGCGTGAAATTTTGGTTAAGAAACATGTATCAGATTACTTAAATTCGTACCTTGTCTAGTGGTCCATTGTCTTAAAAATTTGAGAAAAAATATTCATAATTTTCTCGGTAAATATGACTTTTATTGAAATAAATATGGCAACATATGAATGCTTTATATGGCGTTTTGCCTGAGGACGGCAGCATGTATAGCGGTCCTAGCGGTGGTAGCAGTCCTAGCTAGTTTTACGAAATCGAGTACCTTAGTGACATTTTCGGAATTTTCAAAATTTTATTTCTGAAAATTCTGCAGTGAGGAAAGCGCAGCATTGCTCCAGAACTGCCTATATTTTCAGGATATTCTCGCTAAGGCCCTCCCAGACGTCTCAGGGTTGCAGGTGGTCTGGAAAACCGGGAAAGTCAGGACGTTTCATTCGAATTTTTGGGAGAGCCACGGAATCCTATAATGTATGCCAACAATTTAAATTATCCAGTGAAGATTTAAGAATTTATGGCTGAGTTGATGAATCTTTAAAGCAACCTCACAATTTTCCTGAAACTTTTTAAACAAACCGTCAAAAATATTATTTACTGTACAATTTTAAAAATATTTCCAGTATTACTTATCTTTTCGGTAACCTAGCAATAGCTGATAACACGCAGTGCATTTACCTGTCGGACAGATGATGTACACCGCGCAAAAAAGGCGAATCGTTTCGAATGGAAAGATCGAAAGCCCTGGCATTGTGGGGCGCGTGAGGGGGAGGACGCTTGTGCCAGCCAGTGATTTGTACCCTCTCAATTTCTACGCTATGCGCCTCTCCTACTCCTCAACCATGATCATAATTCAATCAGTTGCGTGGCGTGCTTTGCGATATATCGATTGATCGGTCATTTAAACCTATGGAAAAACATCGATAAAGCGAAGGTGTTTGCAACGAACACGTTAATAATCGATTCTTTACCAAAGGTTTAAATGGCAGATCAATCGACATATCGCAAAGCACACAGTGCCACTGAATCCTATGGCCTCCCCCTCCCCTCTCACCCTCCTGTTTTGCCGCAGAGGAACTACATTTTCTTTTATTTCTATTTGAATGGATATTCGATTATCGTGTCCGCAAATCGGCTGCAAGAATTCATCGACTGGATGTCAGGGTGAGCCATCGGCAATACTGAACGATCGTCATTTTTTGCGGTCGCAGAAAGAAAACTGAGGAATTTACGTAGGTGTGCTCGAAGTTCATGTTGCATATGAGCCAGCCCGTCGCGGTCGCAAGGGGCTTAAAAAGTTTGTACCTACCCACGCAAGACGCCGAAATTCTTTACGGCCTTCTTCTCTCTAAAAAAAACCCCCAACATATCCAGGAATAGCAATCGAAATAGGTATAATACACT